ACGGTAATTTGTCACGCGTGTACATGACGTAGCGCCGCTTGCCTTTCGACGAGGAGCGTATTATTGGTAACAGGACAATCCGAATACCCGGTGACACAGAGCCGTGTCCTGGTTCGCACGTACGTCACCCACACGTCACGTCCCACTCGCCTCTCTTTCGAGCTTCGACGCCTTCCTTCTCCAAGCGCGATCACCTACGCCATTTCGACGAGAAAATTATGCGGATAATCTGGCAAAACTACTTCCTCGAGCGAAACGTGTATAAGATAAATCCTCGCAACGTTGTATCTTGATACGGTGCGTAGTGCCGTAGAGATTGTATGCATTTAATTCTTGATGTATATAATTCTCGAGTGGAAAGTTTGAGAGAAAGGGAGAAAGAAAAAGTGGAGAACGATAGATGGTTGGAGGTTAAGGAAACTTTTCTTCGAAACATAAGAGAATAAGAGAAAGAGAAAGAGGAAAGAAAATTCTATCGCGATTGACGATTACGAGTCACGATTACGCGGCAGGAATAAGATAAAATAAACGTAATCTGAAATCCGCGCAAATGCAGACAGCCCTCGTTCTCCGATGCGCATAATCTCCTCACTTTCGTTTCCGACCGAGTATTTTCCCTACATTCCGTTCCGTTGTCACATCGGCATATAAATCAGGCGTGGTTCGACGTAGATCTATCAACCGATCGCGGCACGAGCTAGGAAGAGAACGGGCCCCGTGACAGATTAATCTCGAAGTGCAGCGCGTGCAACCTATCGTACGCGTACGCTTCGCCGCATAATTCATTATTTTTCCGCTGTCACTCTCCCTCGTATTCTCTTGTCCGGCCAGTTCTCCAACAATAAAGGATCTCTTGCCGCTCTAGAAATCGAAAGGGGACGACGGTCGATTCTCTGTATCATTTTCTCTCTCTCTCTCTCTCTCTCTCTCTCTCCTTCCTTCTTATCTCTTCATTTCCCTTTCTTTCTTTTCGTCATTCTTCATTTTTTCCGTTCGAACACAATTTTTTTCATCGATGGGCCCAGCGTCGAGATATCGATCTATCTCACTTTCCATTCGTTTCGAATGGTTTCGTTATACAAGCGGCATGGGTGAAACGGATTTCGTCAATGCTTAGCAACCGGTTAAGAGTCATATAGCGATCCGATATGGTTAATCGTATAGGAGGATGAAGCAATCGCGCCTGCAATGGGCATAATTAGCATTAAATGTGTTATTACTCGCGTTTCGGACAGCCGTGCACCTGGCCTCTCCGCAGAGGCCAGAAGCCGGGGGTCTTATCGATTTCGCGGTTAATTCGCCGTTTAATGCAACGATGCTTTTTTTTAAAAGCCGATCCACGGAAAATTGAGATGGCGCACGTGTCGCGATGCATCGTCGGTTGGAACAACCGGCGTAACTCTCGACTCTTGCACACGCGTATACGATTTCTTCCTTTTATTTCTCGACGGATCCGACTTTTTTAACGTTCTCTTGCTCGAATTAATCGGACATTATTCTAACCTTTTTCTCGTCTCTCGAAACGGACAGAAAGGAAAGGATTGAAAGGATTAAATTCCCTTTCCTTCGTATCGCGTCCAAAACCAATCAGATCCTTGTAGTCGATATAAACGCACGTGGGTGAGATCCGTCCCATGGGAAAGTGTCGGCCCGCGATGATTCCATTGTGCAAACGTTTGACGAGAGTCGGAGGTGATTTATTCGCCGTCCGTTTCGTGGACATGCCTTTTTTTTTTGGAAGGGGATGGGAGGGGGCGCAGCTACAATTCATCATCCAGCGATGGTTTTGTCGGGAGAATTTGTCTTTTTTTCTTTTCGTTGCCCGACTTTTATTTATGCCACACCCTGTATATGTATATGTATATACACGAAAAGCATTGTAACGCGAGCTAGCCGATAAACGATTCGTCAAGTTGGAAACGGGTCGCCGTTGGAACGGTTACGATTGTTTTTCTTCTCGTTGATTTTTCACCGACTAATTACGAGCAACAATGTGCTCGCCGCGAGATCACGTCCGGATAACTTTGTCGGTGAATTCTGAACAAGTTGCTCAATGATCCCGTGGCTCCTTCGCTCCGTTTCCCAAGAGTCTCCTTGCATTGGTTTGCCTGGCTGTGTAACTAAAACGACCGAATGAACAGGTATATCTTTGTCTTTTTTTTTTTTTCTTCCGAATTGGAAGTTGAATTCAGAGACCGCATTGTTTGCGCCTATCTCTTTTCGAGTAGAAATTTCTACTCGTTCCAATTTTTGTTTCTACTAGTCTAGGATTTACTTTCTTTTCCAAACACACGTGGGAAATTGCGAGAAGTTGTGCTTTTTTCTTTCTCTCTCTCTCTCTCTCTCTCTTTTTCTCTCGCCTTCCTTTTACGTAAGATATTTCTACGTTCACCATTAGTAATAACCGTTTAATCTTCGCTATTGAAAGGCTATTGAATACCTTTGCCAACAGTGCCGTGCAACAGATTATTCGACGCAGCGTACGCATGTTTGTTTATCTAGAACAAAATTATTTTTACGCCCATTGTGAAAGAAATTTGTGTTGAATGGATTTGAAATAGAACGTGAAAGTTCTAGACGAGAGGATAGCTTGGATAGTCCAATATAATCGATTTTGCTTGGTCATCGATGGTAAGGATTATCGCGAGACGATTGCAGCACGGAATAACAACCTGGTTTCATAATTACCACGAATTCCTTTCCAAAAAGATAGGAAGAAGGAAGTAAGGGGGGAGAAAAAGAAAAAAAAACGGTAAACGATGATTTACGATTCTCTTTCACCAGTCAGAAAGAATCAAACAGTTCTCTGTTCTCTTTTAATCCAAAAGTGGGACAGTTTTTCCGTATACGTGACATTCTACGCGCACGTTCCTAGATCCGAGGCGAAGTGGTAAGATTCTTTTATGCACGGACACGCATTCCTAATAAAACGAACGTGCATTCGACGCACGTTCGAGATCTCGCGAATGCAGCTTTTATGTAAACACGCGTCTGGCCTGTGCTAATCGTGTGTGCTAATTCCGTTGTCTGAGGTCGTGCATTATAAAAAAAAAGAAAAAAAGAAAAAGAAATCGGCACCTAAAACGTCCTTTCTCCATCCAAGTTGAAGTGGTTAAAAATGATCGGTCGGAAGGGGGGAATATTTTAAATTTCCCGCTCAAACAAAATTTTCCAAATATTTCCATTGGCACAGGCCAATTCCACCGCCGCTTCCTCGCTTCAATTTCTCTTGAAGCGGCGAAAGAGGCTCATCGAGGCTCTCGAAAACAGTGAGAGAGAGAGACAAAGAAAGAGAGATAGATAGAGAGTTATCGTCACGCGTGCGGCAGCAACGCGAAATTAATAATCCGTCGTTTCTTATGCCTCGTTATCGCGCATCGTCACGTCTTTATAACGCGGCCGGGGCCCGTACGTCAGATGGTATCGTCGTATCTCGTACGGGCTAGCAGCTAGTAAAGTAAGTGCGAGTAAGTATAAACTACCGCGGTGAGCCACCACCCTCGATGTTCCGCCCCAGCGGAGAGATAACATCTTCGTGCACATTGCTCGTCTCCCTCTCTCTCTCTCTCTCTCTCTCC